AGAGAATATAACTGGCCCACAGAATCCAGCTTTAATTGGTTTAGTTGCAACAAATCTTTTTTTAAAATGTATTTTTCTTTAACTTTATCTGTAGAGATATGACTGGAAAGTATCTAAAACTACTTAAAGGTAATGAAAAAGAAATCTGTAGTTAGAATTTTTCTAAATATACTTTCATATTATCAGTAACACTTTATTTTCCAAGTGCTGCTTTTTGGCATTTATCCTTTCAACAAAATTGCCATGGTACAAAAAATTATCAAGTCTAGGCATAACAACCCTTCTCAGAAAAATTTAATGATATATGAGTAAAACAAGTAAATGAATCTCAGAGAGGCTGTTGCTTGTCTAACTTCATAAAATGAGTAAGTAGGAAAGTCAAATCCAGGACTTTCTGGAATAAAACCTGTGCTCTGTGCAGTACTAGCAAATACTACAGTCAGAAAGCCAGAGTTATCCCAGAGAAATTAGTATCCAGTGTTCTTGATACTTCCCACATTTCATACTAGATTAAAAGTATAATACTTGATAATGCATAAAGGAAAACAGGACCCCAGTTTTGTTTTATACATAGCTCTTATGTACTCAAAAATTTATTTCTAAGAATATACTCCCAAATTAGGTAACCTTAGATGAGATTTTACCTATACTACGAATAGCATGATTTTTCTTATTCAAGAATCTAACATAGGTTTAGGGTAAGAGACAAGAGTATAGAAATTATAACAAAAATCAAATTTTTAAGAAACGTCTGAGATCAATCAAATATTAATCATTTCTTTATCAAATGTCTGACAGATAATTCAGAATAACCCTCTTAAGGATGTTCACGGAGTCACAAGAAAATAGAGAGAAAATTAAATGATATCTGGAAAACAACTGAGAAATGGAACGAGAAACCTAACAATAGAATCAATTAAAAAAAAAATAGAACTTCTAGAAATAAAGAATACAGTAGCTGAACTGAAAAACTCAGTAGCAAGCTCAAAAACGGACAATCAAATGGTGGAAAGAATCAGTGAACTCAAAGATAAAACACATGAAATTATCCAATCAGAGAAGCAAAAAGAATAAGAAAAAAATGAAACAGAAACACAGCACATATGGGACTCCCTCAAGCAAAATAACTTCTGCATAACTGGCATACCCAAAGAAGAAAAAGGAAGAGATGTAGAAGGCATATTCAAGAAAATACTGGCTGAAAATTTCCCAAGTATGGAGAAGGATGACAGCATCCAGATACAGGAAGTTCAGAGGTCACAAGTCAAATTCAATCCAAAGAGGAACAACCCAAAGCACATCATAACCAAATCATCAAAAACAAAGGCAAGGAGAGATTACTAAAACCAACAAGAGAAAAGAAACACATAACATTGAATAGAGCCCCAATACATCTCTCAGCTTATTTCTCAGTAGAAACCCTACAGACCAGAAGAGAATGGGACAATATATTCAAAGTGTTGAAACAAAAAATAAAAATAAAAAAGACTGTCAGACAAGAATTCTGTATCCAGCAAAACTAACCTTCAAATATGAAGGAGAAATAGTCTTGCCCAATAAATAAAACCAAGGGAATTCATCAACACTAGACCTGCATTACAAGAAATGCTAAAGGGAGCTTTTCAATCTGAAGGAAGATGATGCTAAGGAGCAGCAAGAAAACATTTGAAGGTACATGACTCATTAGTAAAGGAAGTTCACAGACAACCTCAGAATAATCCAATATTGTAAGGATGATGAATAAACCGCTTACATTGCTAGTAGGAAGATTAAAGGACAAACCTAACAAGATGGTAACATATAAAAGAACCATATAAGAGAAAGGCAATATTACAAGATATACCCTGAAACAAAAAAATTGGCAAAAAGTGGGGGGGGGATGATGCCAAAGCATAGAGTTGGCTTTGGTTTTTTTTTTTTCTTAGATTTCAAAGTTTAGTTATTACTAGTCTAAAATAATGTGTTATAACTATACCATGTTTTGTGTCTCTTGGTAACAATAACAGAAAAACTTCGAAGAGGCATACTAAAAATAAATAGCTAGAAAGCAAAATGTAAAACTAGAGAAAACCACTCCACCACAAAGGAAGATAGTAACACGACAAAAAGGAAAAAAAGATACAGAAAACAAAATAGAAACATGGCAGTAATGAGATCCTGTATATCAATAATAACTCTAAATGTAAATGAATTCGATGTCCCAATTAAAAGACACAGAGAGACTGAATGGATTATAAAACAAGAACCAACAAAATACTGCCTACAAGAAACTCACTTTACCTATAAATACACACACCAGCTGAAAGTGAAGGGATGGAAAAAGATATTTCATGCAAATGGAAACCAAAAAAGAGCAGCAGTAGCTATGCTTATATCAGATAAAATAGACTTCAAGCCAAGGAAAGTAAAAAAAGATAAGGAGGGTCATTATACAATCATAAAGGGATCAATTCAACAAGAGAATGTAACAATTCTAAATATATATGCACTCAACTCCCAAGCACCCAGTTATATAAAGCAATTACTATTGGACCTAGTGGGAGAGATTGACTCCAACATAATAACAGTTGGGGGGGACTTTAATACCCCACTTTCAGCAAAGGACAGATCATACAGACAGAAATTAACCAGGAAACATCAGAATTAATCTCTACTGTAGGCTGACTTGACCCAACAGACATTTATAGAACATTTCATCCAACAGCTGCAGAATACACACTCTTCGCAGCAGCACATGGAACATTCTCCAGAATAGACCATGTTAGGACACAAAACAAGTCTCAACAAATTTTTAAAATTGAAATCATATCAATTACCTTATAGGACCACAATGGAATAAAACTAGACATCAATAACAAAAGGGACAGTAGAAATCATACAAATACATAGAAATTAGACAATATGCCCCTAAACAATGAATGGACCAAAGAAGAAATCAAGAAGAAAATTAAAATATTCACAGAGACAGTGAAAATGAAAACACAACATATCAGAACCTATGGAATACAGCAAAGGCAGTCCTAAGAGAGAAGTTTATAACAATAAAGACATACATCAAAAAGAAGAAAAACTCCAAGTAAACAACCTAACTTTCCAGCTCAAGGAGTGGAAAAACAGAAACAAACCAAACCCAACCCAAAATCAGTAGAAGGAGAAAAAATAACAAAGATCAGAGAAGAAATAAATGAATTAGAGGTTAAAAAAAACAACAATAAAAAAAAGATTGATGAAATAAGGAGCTGGTTTTTCAAAAAGATAAGCAAAATCTATAAAAATTTAGCTAGACTAATGAAGGAAAAAAGAAGACTCTAGTAAAATCAGAAATGAAAAAGGGGGTATTACAACTGATACCACAGAAATACAAAGGATCTTAAGAAACTACTACAAACAACTATATGCAAACAAACTGGAAAACCTTGAAGAAATGGATAAATTCCTGGACACATACAGCTTACGAAAGTTGAATCATGAAAGACTGGAAAACCTAAACAGACCAATAACAAGTTATGAGATTGAAGTAGTAATACAAAGTCTTCCAACAAAGAAAATCCCAGGACCAGATGGCTTTACTGTCAAATTCTACCAAACGTTGAAAGAAGAACTAATACCAATTCTTCTCAAACTCTTCCAAAAAAATTGAAAAGGAGGAATGCTTCCAAACTTATTCTATGAGGCCAGCATTACCCTCATACCAAAACAGGAAAAACACACACAAAAATCTACAGACCAATATCCCTAATGAACACAGACATGAAGATCCTCAACAAAATACTAGCAAACAGAATCCAGCAACACATTGAAAAGATCATACATCATGATCAAGTAGGATGCGTTTCAGGGCTACAAGGACGGTTCCTATTGGGAAAATATAGGAAAATGGTCAGGGCCCCTCAGATGTTTGGAATCTTGCCGAGCATTTGCTGTGAACAGGTTGTGTGTGGGTGGAGTTAGTGTGCCTGTGGGGCACCGCCACCTTGGCTGGAGTTTACTACCTCACGTGGCCGCCCTGCTCAAGCAGCCATGCCTTTCCAACCTACAACTTCCAAGGACCTGTTTGCCGGTTATGTAGCCCATTGACCTGTGTGTAAGGGGTCTGGTGACCCAGCCTGGCATGTGAGGGGTCTGGGGAGCCAATCTGGTGTGTGAAGGGTTTGTGACTCAGTCTGTGAACGGGCTTGAGAGTTCTGTGAACTCCAGACCCAGCCCTAGCATGACAGTTCCACATACACAAATCTATAAATGTGATGCAACACATCAACAGAATGAGAGGAAAAAACATCTGATAGTGTCAATAGATGCAGAAAAAGCATTTGACAAAATCTAACACCCCATCGTGACTCAACAAATTAGGTATAAAAGGAACGTATGTCAACACAATAAAGGCCGTATACAACAAACCCACAGCTCATATCAGACAGAACGTACAAAAATTGGAGGATTTTCCTCTAAGATCCAGAACAAAACAAAAATGCCCCTTTCCTCACTCTTATTCAACATAGTAATAGAAATTCTAGCTTATGCAATAAGGCAAGAGAAAGCAATAAAGTGCATTCACATTGGAAAAGAGGAAGTCGAACTATCCCTATTCACAGATGACATAATCTTATACATAGAAAATCTTAAAGACTCCACCAAAACAATTACTAGAACTAACAAATGAATTCAGTAAAGTGGTAGGATACAAAATCAACAAATAAAAATCAGTAGTCTTCCTATATGCCAACAACAAAATAGCTGATGAAGAAATCAAGAAAATAATCCTATTCATAACAGCTACCAAAAAATGAAATACCAGGGAATAAATCTACAAAGAAAACTATAAAATATTGGTGAAAAAATTAAAGAGGACACAAATAAATGGAAAGGCATCCCATGCTCATGGGTCAGAAGAATTAACATAATCAAAATGTCCATATTACCCAAACAATCTACCCATTCAAAGCAATCTCTATCAAAATACCAGTGATGCCCCTCCCCATGGCAACACAGCCCCTGCCGCACTTGCACCCTCGGCCGCCATGCAGTTTATGTTGCTTTTTAGTCATCAAGGAAAGCTTCAACTGCAGAAATGGTATGTCCCACTTTCAGACAAGGAGAAGGAAAAGATCACAAGAGAACTTGTTGAAACCATTTTAGTACGGAAACCTAAAATGTGCAGCTTCCTTGAGTGGCCAGATTTAAAGATTGTTTACAAAAGATATGCTAGTCTGTATTTCTGCTGTGCTATTGAAGATCAGGACAATGAGCCAATTGCCCTGGAAATAATTCATTGTTATGTGAGATTACTTGACAAGTATTTTGGCAGTGTGTGTGAACTTGATATCATCTTTAATTTTGAGGAGGCATATTTTATTTTGGATGAGTTACTTTTGGGCAGGGAAGTTCAGGAAACATCCAAGAAAATTTTTCTTAAAACAATTGAGCAGGCTGATCTACTGCAGGAGGAAGCTGAAACCCCATGTAGTGCTCTTGAAGAAATTGGACTGACATAACTCTCCCCCCTTGTTGATGATTTCTTGTGGCATTTCACACACTGTAGATGGTCACTGCCTTCATGGCCATGTTGGCTAATGGTTTAAGATGTCTTGTCAGTATTACTGTTTTGCTAAGCTGCTTAACACAGGCCTACACAATTTTTTAAAGGGAACTTTGTTTAATCAAATGATAAATTAAAGAACGTAAATATGAATTAAGATGATGCAGAAAAAAAAAGATACCTTTTCTGGATATTTTTAAATTTATAGGTCAGTCAGTTTCTCTTAATCTGATTAAGCGCATGTATGAAAATGACACATCTATATAGATGTNACTTGATATCATCTTTAATTTTGAGGAGGCATATTTTATTTTGGATGAGTTACTTTTGGGCAGGGAAGTTCAGGAAACATCCAAGAAAATTTTTCTTAAAACAATTGAGCAGAAACTTGATATCATCTTTAATTTTGAGGAGGCATATTTTATTTTGGATGAGTTACTTTTGGGCGGGGAAGTTCAGGAAACATCCAAGAAAATTTTTCTTAAAACAATTGAGCAGACTGATCTACTGCAGGAGGAAGCTGAAACCCCATGTAGTGCTCTTGAAGAAATTGGACTGACATAACTCTCCCCCCTTGTTGATGATTTCTTGTGGCATTTCACACACTGTAGATGGTCACTGCCTTCATGGCCATGTTGGCTAATGGTTTAAGATGTCTTGTCAGTATTACTGTTTTGCTAAGCTGCTTAACACAGGCCTACACAATTTTTTAAAGGGAACTTTGTTTAATCAAATGATAAATTAAAGAACGTAAATATGAATTAAGATGATGCAGAAAAAAAAAGATACCTTTTCTGGATATTTTTAAATTTATAGGTCAGTCAGTTTCTCTTAATCTGATTAAGCGCATGTATGAAAATGACACATCTATATAGATGTAAAATCAAATAATCAGGCAATATACATTTACTAATTACTGTATTTGACAAAGGAAACTTAAATTATACTGTATATACTGTAAATTAAACCTGGTTTGATGAAACCAAACACTAGTGCAGAATTTCAGTATATATAAGAATAAAGGGAATTGACATGTCACATATCAAATGAATGAAAATTTAACTCTGTTAAAACTTAAAAACAAAAACAAATTTTTATCAAAGACCCGTATTGAAAACTATGTATCTTAAAGCAAGGGGAATATAGGTTATTTTAAAAAACTAAATTGGAATAATGCTGTTTTACACTAAAATGTATTTCTTAGGCATTTGAACCTGGGATGACAGATTATTTCATTATGGTGAGCACACAATTTTTAAGGCCAAGGCATATTTGATTTCTGAGATGAATTTTTTGTGGTCATAATCATTTACTTAGTTGGTTTCCTTTTGATACTCCCAAATAAAGTGGGAATGTTAATTTACTAGGAATTCTTCATAACAGTATCTTACAGAAAATGTGTTCCTCTCTCCACAAAGTGTTGCATGTAAAGTCACTGTTTAAAGCACTAATGTTCCTTCTGGGTGCTTGTTAAAGCCAAATTTATTTTGCTTCCCTCCTCTTAGAAGTGCTACAAACTTTACAACAGCTTCCTTTCCTTCTATGGCACTGCCTAGTTATCAGAAGTCTTATATAAATTTTAAAAAAACACCTTTCATATGAAAAAGTGAGTTAAGTGAGATAAAATGGCTTTAGTTGCCCCTATATTTTTAAAGCTATATAATTGTTCAGCATCACTTTTATATGTACTTATACATATCTAAATATGTCTTCATGGTTTACATTTTCACTTGCATATGCTGGGCTGGATTAAGCTTTGTTGTGACTCTGACCAATATTGAGGCCACGTGAGCACTGTCTTATCACATAGCCAATTAGTTATAATAAATGTTCAATGTATAAAAAAAAATACCCATGACATTCTCCACAGAGACAGGAAAAACAATCTTAAAATTTATATGGAACCACAAAGATCTCATATAGTAAGAACAATCCTGAACAAAATAACAAAGTTGAAGACATCACACTTCCTGCTTTCAAAATATAAAATAAAGCTATACTATAAACCAAAACTGCATGGTACTGGCAGAAAAACAGACAAACTAACCAATGAAATAGTATAGAGAGCCCCAAAATAAACCACTGCACTTACAACCAACTGATTTTCAAAAAAGGTGCCGAAAACATACAATGGGGAAAAGACAGCCTCTTCAACAAAAGGTGCTGGGAAAACTGGATATCCACATATGGAAGATTGACACTAGACCCCTATCTCTCACCATACACAAAAATCCACTCAAAATGGATCAAAGACCTAAATTTAAGACCCAAAACTATAAAACTACTAGAAGAAAACACAGGGAAAATGCTACACAAAATGGGAGTGAGCAGTACTTTTTAAAGCGAGAGTACAAAGGCACAGGCAACTAAAACAAAAATGCATAAATGGGACTACATCAAACTCAAAAGCTTCTGCACAGAAAGAGACACTATCAACAAAGTGAAAAGACAACCTACAGAATGGGAGAAAGTGTTTGCCATTACACATCACACAAAGAGCTAATATCCAGAATACATAGGAACTTAAATGACTAAACAGCAAAAAAAACAAATAACCTAATTAAAAAATGGGTAAAGGACCCAAATAGACATTTCTCAAATGAAGGCATACAAATGGCCAACAGGTACATGAAAAAATGCTCAACATCACTAATCATCAGGGAGCAAATTAAAACTATAATGAGATATCATCTCACTGCAGTTAGAAAGGCTATTATCAACAAGACAAAAAAATAACAA